CCCCAAAACCCCAAAACCCCAAAACCCCAAAACCCCATTTCACCCAGATTAGATTGAAGGGTGTTTACTAAGGAAAATTGAGCAATTATGGCTTCTCTTGGCTGCGTTTAAGGCATGTTGAGACCTAGATGTTAGTAGGAGAGTACGATTCTATGCAGTTTGTAGGTTGTCTCATTAACCACTCTTGTCTCAGGCAAGGCCTTGAAGATAACCTCTGAGAAAGGCCTCGGAGGCTGCTTTTTATATGCCTTTTTGGCAGTTATAGGAACACTTTTGAAAGTCTGATTTATTAAATTCAATTTGGTAGGCAAGCATAAAGGATAAGAGCTTTTGCTACGACTCTCTTGTTGTTCGTAGCTTTTAAGATACCTAAATTTTAGGAAGGCTTTACCTGCTGATAAATCCCAGTCTCTGCTTATTTTCTAAACCTTTCATTTACAATTTGAAACATGAGTGGTTTGGCATGAATTTTTGAGAGGTCAGGAATTCTTGTATTGCTCATTCATTCTAAAAAGCATTAACTACTTAAAATTTGAGGAAAATAAGCCAAATTATTACTTTTCATGGTATTAATCTCATCCAAATTATTGCTAGTAAGTTTAAAAGGCTGGTTTTCTCTCCAATTCTGTACAATCTCTTTCTATATAAATTTCACTAATCTCTCCATACAAGCTTCTTGAAGTTCTCTGCTCTGATCTTGGGCCTATAGGTATATGCATAAGTAATTTTCCTGGATTTAAGTCCATTTAAGGTGAAAATAAATTCTAAAATTTCTAAACTAATTCCTTCTTAACAGGCCAATACTTCTTCTTGCTTACTTTGAGATTAGAGTCTTGATGTTACTAGTGTTTGGCCTAATTCTTGACTTAATCACAAACCCCAGTTGTGGTCTATACCAGTTTGATGAAAGTAGACTACGATTTGATGATCCCTTTCGAACCCTGGGATTCAAAAAGTGGGCCATTTTGAGGCTTCTTTGACATTTTATTTTAGAAAATATTGATTTAAAGAGAGGGGTTTTGGGGTTTTGGGGTTTTGGGG